GGCTAGATGGCAATTTCGCTTTACGGACGTCGGATCAAACCGTAAACTCTTGGCACACGGCTGGGGACCACCCTCGTCGCGTAAGGTTATATATATATATATATATATTCCCTTATGCGCGGAACGTGTAACAGCCCAGTAGCAAATGTGACAAACAGTCTTCGAACTTGTCAGAAATATCAAGCTTAAAATATCTGATACACGCACGATACGATGCTTGTTTCGGTGAAATTTTACAAAATCTAACCGTTTCAGCAGCGGAAAATTTATTTTCCGCGTGAAAAAATAACGGCAAACGGTATTACATCGTTTTATCGTAACTGTAACGTATTGCGCACACTGACGTTACGTTTTTTTTTTTTTTTTTTTTTTTTTTCAATTTTCTGCCTTTCGCTCAGAAACACGGTAAATTTTTACCCGCGTTAAATTCCGCTCGCGTGTCGACGTTTTATCTTATAAACGCGAAATATAATTCTAACGCGTCGCATTTTCGAGTGTCACTCTCTCGGTTTACGAGAATGATTTGCAACGTCACATCTTTTCTCGCGTTACACACACACGTTTTATCGCATTACATTTGTTTGTTCTCCCCGCGCGCGAATCTATCATCGCTTGATTCCAGAGTCGTCCAGACGATGACTCTGTACCGGACGGGAATTTATGTGGAACTTTATGCGACGTATCGCTCATTTATAAGCGCCGAACACGTCGGGCCATGATCGTAAATTGGCGGATAATACCCTCGCGGACGAGTGCTGCCATAAAACACTTGTATGCTTGTAACCTAACGTGTGTACGACACATAAGCATCTCTTTCTCTCACTCCCTCTCTCTCTCTCTCTCTCTCCGTCGCTCTTTTTTTTTCTCTCGTTTCTCTCTCGTCGTCCTTCGAGCGTTAAAGAATTAACGCGCTACTTCCGTCGCAGGTGCCACTTCCGACTCGCACTACCTGAGCGTCTGTTATATGAGAGACTATTTTAATGGCTCATCACGTTACACCATATATTTCTGTTACGGTTAATTAGACAATTTTAGCATAAAAAAAGCACAGTTGCTCTTTTTGCACGAATATTCTTTGAAAATATGGGTGTGTTGACACCAAACTAATTTCATTTTTAATAAAAAAAAAAAATTTAGTGAAAAATTCATATAATTAATGCGGGACATTAATAATAAAAAATACAAATTTTTGATTAACATAAATAAATATAATAAAATAAAATACAAAAAAACGACAACCTCTAACTAGCAAAAAACATTTAAGAATAATCTAGCACTTTGGAAAAAAAATCTTTGGGAGATCAGTAACGCGTTGATCATGATTTATTCGTTTGAATCAGCTTCCGTCCGAATCGGTTACACGTTTCAGGCCGGACCGCGAACTAATTAATTCCAACGTAGCGGCGCGTAAACCTGGATTCATAGTCCGTGGAGAGGACGCATAAATTCGGGTAGAAACGGCGGTTTAAACCTCTCCACGTTTCGAGGACTGTACTTGGCCGAACTTTGATGGTTACGAGGCAGGTCTTTAGCGATGGTCTTCGTTCCGAAATGTAATTTTCGGCCACTTTATTGCGGCGCGTAAAAGTCTGTATCAAGCTGTACGAACTCTCGAACGTGACAAAGGTTCTTTCTTGCATACAAGCGCCAAAACGGAACTTCTTCAACGAGGCAATGTAACAAATAAGAAGAAAAAAACCTATTGCAGAAAGAGAGAGAGAGAGAAAAAAAAAGAGAAAGAAATACATCAATCAAATTGAAATCATACCACGAGTGAAACTAACAATTGAGCTCTGCCACGATGGCTGAAAGCCACGTATTGTATCTCTCATCAATTCGCAATAGATACGTGTAAAAGTTTGCTTAATGGCCGATTTCAATTTTCCGTGCTATACGCGTGTATATATACGGTGTACATATACGTGTGTACAATGTTTTTTATTCTCGACAATTGATCGCGAATAGTGAAACTCGTACTCTCGATAAAGGGAAATTGATAACGTATACATTTATGCAATAGAAACTGTCACAACAATGATTAAAAAAATTCATCGTCGTTTCTCGTTTTTGTTAAATCAAATTTTTTCGACAACTTAAGAAAAAATGGCATTAAAAATGTTCATTAAATTTTTACGTTAAAAAAATTAAAGATGAAATTTCGCAAATTACCGCAAAAAAATCACTTTGTGTAAAGCTAAGCTTTTCATAATTTATTGCGCTTATCTTACACGATTTTTTAACGCAAATTTATTTAAACTATGTAATTTATATCGCGTCTCTTGAGCTATTTTTTCGAACTTAACACCGTTTCCTTGTAAGCTTAGAATTTCGCGCCGCAAATTGTTGCGCGTAATGACCGTAACGCGTTGCGAACCGGAGCGCGTTGGGCGCGCGCGAAGTGTCCTTCGCTTCAAGGACCGATCCTCCTCCGGTCGGGTCCGTTCGAGCGGAACTGATATTCACCCTCGAAATCAGCTTCGTAACGAAATACCGGGTGGCTGCGGGCGACCTTGCAGATAGTCGGGTTTCTGGTAAACGGAAGGGACAAAGGGCGTCGACTCACCTTCGAGCGTGGGACACCCATCGGGAAAGGGGTGAATCGAAAGGGTGCCCGAGAGGTCCGTGCCGATCGATGTATGCGAAGTTCCACCAATAAGATCGCCGGGGGTGCCGTTTTATTTCCGGTCGCTCGATCAGTAGACCGAGGAGGCTCCGCTCCGGGCTCTTTTCGCCAAACTATTACGCGACTACAACGCGGAGAGACGCGAAGAGACGACGAGAATAATACGAGAAGGGGGAGAGAAACAAAAAAGGCGCGTGTCTCTCTTTTGTACCTCTATACGTCGTCGCGGTGGCGAGGGTGTTTCCGCATGCAAAAGATAGAACGTGCACCGCAATCTGAACGAAATCTCTAAACCCAATTTCCTGAACAGACAGACAGACAGACAGAACGAACGGACCGGCGCGGTGTTGCGCGAGCAAATCGTGGTCCGCTCGCCGCTACTGACGACATCGATCTGAGTGTAAAAGGGAATGCGGCTTTAACAATGCATCGCGCCGTGACTTTGTGCGGAAAAACGCGTGCGTCGTTGTCTTATCGGCTGGAATATATATTCGAACTCGTCCGAACGTATATTTGCAAAATGTGGTGTAAATCGCGGATAAAAATAATATCGAAGAGTTTTCTCTCACGAAAAGAGAGGAATATTAAAATTTTAATATCAGGTCTACCGGAAAGTTCTGTCCGTTTTTGGAATAAAAGAAAATACAAATTTTTTTTAATTTTTCAAAAATGGAATATACAAATTGCCCTCACGCTGGCAAGAAATCATTAATATAATAATGGCAATTATATTATTTAATCAAGTTTATTGACGGACAGAACTTTCCGGTAGACCTAATAGATCTCTTTTTTTCTTTCTCTTTTTAATTCGTCTTAGAATTAACGCAGAATATTGTTTTACAAAATAGATTTGTTAAATTAACAGAGATTTCTACGAGGATCTACTTTACTGAAACATTTAATTTACTGAAACCTAAAAAAAAAAAAAAGAGAAAATTGAGCAACAGTTTAAAACAAGCTATTCGCGAATGCGAGAGAAAATGCGAATGGTGGTTGTATCGCGTACGTCATAAAATACTACGAATCTACGAAAATTTCAAAAGAGCTACATATACCTAAGTGGGGTCGCGGCTTGATACGTAGGTATATACGCGTTACGCGGCTTTTAATAAAGCAACTACTTGTTTGCCGGAATGCTCAACTGTGTCTGTCCGAGCAACGTTCGCGAGCGATATTCGATTTCACGAGTGGCCGCGGCAAATATCATCTTCTTGCGCATTTGGATACACAACGCGTTTCTCCGTTCCATCGTGTTACTCTCGCGAAGTTGAAATCGCGGCTCGAATATCGTAAATTAAAAAATGTCGCGCAAAGTTAATACACGCAAACATTTTTCGTCGTCGTTTTTGCTCAATTTCACGTTTACCAATAGAGCGCGGTTAACTTTTAACTCCTTTTACTAAAAAAAATTGCATGTCCATGCATTTACATACACCGTAACACTTGTGACGGGGAAAAAAACTACAACTATAGTTTTAACAAGTAAATAATTCACTTACTTATTTAACTTGATTTTACATTTGGCTTAAAACGGTGTATCACGCGGTCGACGAAATCTCGCGTAAGTAATGAGATATATGGTTGCGTATACACACACATATTGTCCTATTATAATTCCTAATTGCGATCGCGGCTATTGATTTGATGCGAAACAATTAGCAGATACATTGTCGCAAGTTACGATACGATCGTGTGAATATTTCATCAAACGCTTGTGTTGTCTAATAATTTCGCTTAAATGTTTGGTAAGCGTCTACGGCGATGTTCGTTCAGTGACCGTTCGCGGATACGCGGGTCATAGCAATTTTAGATACCCTGACGTTTATTTGCCGGCAGAAACTGTCTATCAGATAATTTTGATGAGCGCATATTATTTCGGCGAGAGAGATAGCGGGAGCTAATTCATTATACAATATTAACCTATTGAAGCGGATTCGCCGAAGCGCTTAAGTGACGGGCAAGCTTTATCTTTAGTCACCAAATGTAATCTACTGTCTGTCCAATTGGCATATTCCGAAACTAATTTAATTTCACAATAATCAATGCATTTCTCATTAACCGCGGTAATGCCGGTGCTCACGGTTGAAGAGTTATATTTACGCTTCTGTCACTAAATAACGCAAATAATTCAATTAATTAATATTTTACAACAACGTGTATTTCGAGATATCCGACAGAGATATATATAGCGACCGGGGGATAAGAATAAATCTTTTCCTGCGCGCATTTTTATAATCGCAAGAAGAGCGCAAAATATTAATTCTATTGAATAATTTTTATGTCGACGTTTAAATATTCAACTTGTGTGTGTGTGAAATTGTTTCTTTAACAATTTCGACGGAGGATTCTAATTGCAATCTTTCCGTTCGTGTTACAGGTTAAAGTAATGTTGAGAGTTTCACCCGGAGATGGAGGTAGTTTTTTCAACGCGGATAAACGGAAAAAACAAGTTACATTGGTGGATCCAGCATCGGGACAATCTTCATCGGCGGAAGATCGGCGACCTACCGTGGCGGCGCCGAAGATGTTCGCTTTTGATGCCATCTTTACTGAGGAAGATTCTCAGGTAAGATTATATACACACACAAAACTGCACGTGCGCGTTTATTTAAACCGACGTTACTGTAATGACATTTTGATCGCGCTATATCAAAAAGCAGCGACGGTAAATGGTAAAATTATATTTGAAGATATCTTCTCTCTCGCGATATAGTGGTATATCAATCACATTTCACTTCACAAAGTAGATAAGCTCGACGGATTTTTTTTATGCAATCTACATTTCACGTGTTTCTATTCTTTTTTTTGTTTTTTTTGTTTTTCTGATGCAATTATTTTATAATAAAATCTGACTTTCACAAGTTTTCTCGACGCGACGCGCGTGCAGATACTCGTCACACAGAAAATATCTGAAATACTTCCGCCGTGGGATTAAGTCGACAGCGCGAACTTAATTTCTGCCATTCAGAGTGCCCCTTAACGTTTTAAATTTCAAATGGCACTCGCGCGATGGAGGGCGACGCACCGAACAAAGCGGCACTTATAACGAGCGCGTTTAAGGTCGCTCGATAATCGAGAGAATTTGCACGCGCGCGCGAGAAACAGAGAGACGGTCGATCTCTCAAGTCAATGACGTCTTCGTCGGTCAGCTGCTCCATCCGTAAGTAGCGACAGCCCTCTCAATGGAGGGTAGTTGCTACTTCGTTCTTGAAGATGTTCTTGTTCGCTCGCTCGGTTTGTTCTCACTCCTCGGAAAATCCTCTCCCCGGTTTGATTCTTGAGGGTCGTTTATAGCCGGCTCAATTCTTCTTCAGAATTTGTGAGAAGAGAGAGAGAAAGAAACAGAGAGAGAGTAAGAGAGAAAGAGAGAGAGCCAAGAGAAGACTTTGGAAAGTTTTCCGAGGAATAAAAGAGAGAGAGAGAGAGAGAGAGAGAGAGAGAGAGAGAGAGAAAGTTGGAGCGAAGAGAGGACAGCGGAGGACAGTCCTAGAACATGTACGTGCTTCGCCGAGGACTTACGCCCGTAGCGGAAACGTAAGAGACGTTCCTGCCGGGCGCATAACTAAACTAATTTCCCGACCTCTAAACTCCACCTCCTCCGACAGGAAAATCCATCCCTCCAGGCGAATGTTGCTCTTTGCCTGTGACTTCCTCGTTGCTACCGAGCAAACGGAGACCTGCCGACTCTATCCTCGGGACACTTTATCGTGTTATCATACAGGCGGAATATTTTTCTGCACTTACACACACACACATATATATATATATATCTGAAAGCCTGAGAATATTTAAAATATATTTCTGATCTTTGCTTCGCCGAGATTTGTGTAATTTTTTCTCAAAAAATGCACAAAAACAATTTTGTGCAAGATATATTTTTACACATATTATTATTGTTATTACACAGATCTCGTGGAAAGCGTTAAATTAGTCAGTTATTATCAACGGCGCGGAAAATGATCAAAAAACACCGTTTGCATGGCCCAACGATTCCGAACAAATTGTATTATGCATCTTGATGGATGCGCGCCGCGCTGAAGTAAATATCGCTGGAGATCGGCGTAAGCTACGCCGCAACGCGACGACGTTATATACACATATTGAGATATTTCGGTACTCCTGAGGGACATTATTGAGCGTCGGATTCAAATGAGCCCGGAGCTACTGGGTATTCCCGAATCTCTCTCTGTCTCTCCGTTCTTCGCTTTAACAGCTTCTCGCTTTCTCGTTCTCTCTCTGTCTCTTCGTACCCTGTTCAGTCGCGTATACTGTTTGGTACTCCGGAGAGACCTGTGCCACCTACACTTTCCTCTCTCTTCCCTCCCTGCTTCTCGTCGTTCTCTCCCTCCTTTTCTCTCTTTGGCATTTCTCCCTTCGCCACGGCTATGTTTAGAAGAACCATAGAAACCAATCGATTGATTCGATCAAATGTTCGTCGGCCACGGCGATTGTCATTGAAGAGAACACAATAGACCTTTTCTCTTCCTCTTCCTCCTCATCTCCTACTCCTCTTTCTCTTTCTCCTCTACTCTTCCTCTGTTCTGGCTCTTTCTCCCTTTCTCCCTTCGCGATTCATCGAACCGGCTGCGAACCAGGTGGCCGTCTGGGGGTGAGTTTCCACGGGATGAAAGAGCCGAATTCGAAAGAGCGAGTTCCAACGTCCGGCGCGACTTTTCGTCCTTTCCGATTGGCCGTCAAACACACTCTCTCCCGCTTGAATATTTTAAAGACCAACCGCGCCGCCGCTATTCCGAGCGAGCAACCTACTATCGTTCATCATCGAACCGCCGATCTCTTTGACGTTTTTGTAGACTCGCGAGGATCGATGGCGGCTGATCTCCGCCCTTCGCAAGTCCGCCCTTCGCAAGTCGCCCCGATATCAGATCGCGATCGTAACAATGAATTTTTTTCTTTTTGATGTCGCGAACAAACATGCAAATGCTCTATAAAAGTGATTATTATACAAAACAAACCGAGTCAAAAATAAAAATGCTTCATATAAAATTTTCGATCGCTACAATACGTTTTTCGGTATACAATAAAGAATTACGGTTTTGGTTGTTCGTAAAAAAATAGCACAATAAAATGTGAAAATTGGATTTTACGCAAAATACTCTTCTTTAAAATCGTGGAAATACAACCGCGTTTTCATGTTTTTATTATTTTTTTTTTTTTTCATTCAGCAGTGTGTGACGGAGTTGGATATAAAAATGTATATATATCGGCAATACACATCGAATTTTACACATCGCCCGTGTCTACGGGCCAAATGAAATAATCGCGACAGCAGGTGGACATTTATCGACAATGTTCCATCGATGACGGTAATTTCAGCGGTGACGTAATCCGCTTGATACGCTATATTTGCACGTTGCGTTCGGTCAGCATCTCCATAAATACACCCTACGGGCAAGTGACATCAATATATATGAGGATACGGGGTTAGAGAGCAAGGATATTCCTCGGCCCAAAGAAAATACAGCTAATCGAAATTGCAGTTGCGTTGTTTGCTTACGGCAAACCGTTAAGCGCAATTTCAATTATTAACACTTCAACTGGTCAAACAGTACACGGAATCTGTAATTGTGGCGTAAATTCCATTGGCGCAACTTATTGGATAAAATCTACGGCAAACTTTGATAAAGTTTCAAATTGATTTAGAAAGTCGGTCTTCTTGCAGGTCCGGTTCGTTTCCAACGCGGTGGAAGGAAGTATAGAAATTACGCGGCGAGCGAGAAACGATATCGAAAAAACGTGTATCAAGTAACCAAGTTTATCTCTTCGAGCGGGAAATAATGGAAGAAGACGGGCGGAAACGCGACAGAGAATTTTTTTTTTCGCGAGGGGTGCGCGCAATTTGTGCGAAAAACTTTTCTTTTCGTGTACTCTTGATCACGCGGGCGCCACGCGGCTCAATACCAATTCATCGGAGATACACAACGAGACGCGAAGCGAGAAACTTACAGCCTACATTTCCGACAACTTTGCGATATCACGTTTTTTTTATTTCCTTCAACTTGCGCCACTCGAAAAATGCGGGGTGCGCGACAAAATGCTGTTTTCGTTTGAAAAGCAAGTTGAGTTCATTGAGTTATTTCCAAGTTTGTTTTTATTGTTTCAAAAATTTCACCGAACACAGAAACTGTTCGTTTTAATGAGAATATAAAATTCTTAATTACAAACAAATTTTTGTTGCAACAAATAACGCATTGGATTTTTTTTTGAAGCATCGTTCGCCCTTCGTATTGAAACCCTTTGGAAACTGAGCCCGACTGCTTGAGTACCAACAATAAGCTAGCGACGCGGGTGGGCCGCGTGAACGAAACGGCCGCGAATCAATCGACATCCATCTCAATTATGCGCGTCATACGCGCAAACAGCCCCGCACATTTGGCGCGCATATGCGAGAAGGGTTATATCGGCGTGTGCGTGCGTGCCTCGCCGACAATTCCAAGCCGACCGGCGACCCGACCAGGACAATGCATCTCGACCAGAATAATTCACCGCGGCCATTATAGCCGCGGCAGGACAAGGGCTTTATTATTGACTTACGACTAATAGTCACGCTGTGGATTACACGCGCGTTCGTGTGTGTGTTCGTGTGTGTGCGTAGCGCAACGATATACGCACGATCCAAGTGTGTACACGGTCATCGATCTATTGCTCATTTGGTCGGGATATGCTGATTGAGCTGTCCGACGAGGACAGCTCCGCCGATACCTTCCGTTTTCTGGCTCCCGCGAGATTTTCAGCTGCCTCGCAAAAATTGAATTATCGCGGACGAGTGTCGAGTGTCTCTCCCACCTTTGCGTACGGAAATTCGAGAAACACGCGATATATCGAAAGAAGAATTATTTTCAAGTAAAAGAAAAATAGAAGAGAATTTTTAATTTACTTTTTTACGATTGAAAACCTTCTAGCGCGAATAAATCGATATTTGTTTCGTCAATCGATTCTATTTTGCTTAATCGTGTCAATATGCCTTCGTCAGCTGTGTTACACCTCGCGTGCACGGATATCGCCGATAATGACCGAATTCACTGTTTGACTTCTCGAGTCGAAATTTAGCGTCTACATCGAACCTCAATTTTACTTTTTTTATGTAAGAGTAAGAGAGAAAGTAGATCCTACTTTGACGCTGCTATGCGTCCGAAATTTTCTTTTTTCCTGCTAAAGTTTTAAAGTACACGGAAAAAAAAGTTTTGCTATTATATAGTCAGCAAAAAAAAATGGTTGATCCTACGAAATTTTTTGTTTTATCAACAAAATATTTTGTTGGCAAAACAAAAATTTTACTAAACTTAACAAATGTTTTTTTGCTGGCCATATAGTAACTAATTTCTTGCTATTTTAGCAAATCTTTTTTTTCCGTGTAGGGTTCAATTCTCAGATCAACTTGCGCATTGCAGGTTCTGATAGGCTCAAAGTAGCAGTAAGAAAAAAAGTAGATGCTACTTTGACGTTACTATACGCGTCCGAAATTTTCTTTTTTCAAAAATTGAGGTTCAATGTAGACGCTAAATTTCGACTCGGGTTGTTTCTAAAACTGCACACCCCGCAGAGAGA